TGAAAATATCTGGTGCTGTGATTTTTATAATTCAAAGTACTTTGTAGAGAGAAAGGAAAAAAATCTCAACTCTTTAAGATTTATACTCATATTCTCCTAAATGATTTCTCAACTGTAGTTTGTCCTCACATTTTGCTTATAGCCCTTCTTGACTACTTTCATATCTCGCCTCAGTTGGCCCATCTCTTAATAAAACTGCCATGTTTCTATTTGAAGTTCTGGGCTTTGCATTGACAGGGACTGCAGTGTGACCCTCTATACCACTGAAACTTTCCTTCCTTGCATATTTTTTTATTGTGTGACACTGAATTGAATTGGGTAAAAGAAGATACTAGTGCACTGTGAAACTACATTTGATTTTGTGATATAATTATATTGTCATGTTAAGGCATTGGTTTAGGAGTAAAAAGTTGGGGATGGTTTAGAGAGGATGAGCATAGAACCTGGGAGACCTATCGGAAGACTTTTTTTATCAGTCCATGCAAGAGATAACAATTGACCTGAACTAAAGTGATGGTGAGTAAATGATTAGTAAAAAATAATTGGGTAAGATGTATTTATTAAGAGAGTATAAATGATAGGATTTAGAGACCAATTAAATTCATGCTTCTGTGGAGGGAGATGGAGGTGAACATAAATAGAGAGAGAGTGTTATTAAGAAAACAATCAGATTTTTGGCATGATCTAATATGTGATGACTTTCAACAAGTTAGGAGGAGGCACTATTTCATATTTGCTTGTTTTTGTTAAATAAAATTTACAAATAATTCTTTATTAGATAGTTAGATAATAAGATCAAAAATAGAAAGAACAATTACTTAACGATCTTATCACCCAGAAATAACTATTGTCAGTATTTTATTATATGGCCTTCCCTATGTTCTTTTGTACATAAACATATATTTTTTTCCAAAAAACGGAGAGATAGTATAGGTATTTTTTTGTGACTTTTTTTACGTTATGTAGACATCTTTCCATAAATGTATGTATACATTATCATTGTTAATGTGTGCACAGATTTCTATTCTGTGGATGGAAGTGTTTCGCATTTCCTTTTGTTTTAGGCAACTGAGTTTATATCATCCTCCTATGTATATTGTTGCACACTTATCTAATTAATTCTGTAGGGTAAATTCTTCTTATCTGAATTCCTGAATAAAGAGGTATTCATAGTTTTTAAGCATTAGCCATTTTCCTATTGTCATACCCTCTAAAAGGAATGAATTTTTTTTTTTACATCTTTTCTGATACTAGTTTTATTCTTTTTTATCATTTCCAATTTTAAATATAGGATTTCTTGTCATGCCTTGACGAAAAAAAACTCATGGGATTAAAATAAGGATTTGGCTAAGAGAGGAGAAGTTTCTTTAGCAGTGTATATAATGTTTGATGTTACTTTTCTCCTTTTCAGGAACTCGAAAGCATAAATGAAGATGTTCAAGCAATGAGCAACTGTTGTCAAGATATGACAAGTCGCCTACAGGTGCTGTATAACGGCTAGATTTTAGCATAGTTTTTGCTACAAAGTAAGCTTTCAGAAATTATTAGGTCTACAAAATATATGGATATTTGCCCTATATTTTGCCATCATGCTCTATAGGAAGTTTGAATATAAATATTGTGTTTATTTTTCTTTTTTAAATTGTGTTTTTTGTGTTTCTTTTTGTTTCTGACGGTTTATTAATATTGTTCAGTTTTCTACAGAGCCTTTATATTTTGGTCTAGACAGTACAGAGCTAACTATGTAGAATTTTGATAAGCCTTCAATTTCATAATATCCCAGAAGTCCAGCAGGAATTAATTCCTTAGTAGAAAGCCTTAGGCATAGGTTCACACTATAGCTGTGTCTGATAAAGACCCAGCTTAATTCTGATTCATGTTTAGCCTAAAAAAAAAAATCATAGGAAAGTATGTATAATTTAGGTCTGTTTATTAAAGCAATCCTAAACCTCTAGTTTGGGTGCAGAATCAGCATTCTACCTAATTATCCTAATTTGTGTGATTTTTGGAATAGTGCATAGAACAGTTTCCTCCTAAGGGTCAGTCACAATTATGTATACTACATTCATATTTGGATAACTATACTGCTAAGATTCTGCTGCAAGCATTGACAGCAACAATGATTCTAGAAAGAATTATTAATCTGTGGGTATTCCACAAATTAATCTTAGGCTACTTACATAATGTCTGTAAGATTAATTAATTTTTTGTTTCTCTGAAATTTTTTCTCCCTAGTCTTGTCTAAATTTTGATATTCTTACTAATACAGCAGATATTATTGGCATATTTATTGTCTCAGTGCAATTTTTATATCTTTGTTAATTTTTATATTTAACTAATCATCTAGTCTTTGCTAATGCTATTTCACATTTTTACACATATTTATTTTGTTGCTTAGTGACTGATTTTGTTTGACCATTCCTTTTCTTTAACTTTTTCTTTTTCTGGGCTGAGCCCATGGCAAACTCGGGAGAGTGCGGCGCTGGGAGCGCAGCAGCGCTTCCACCCTGGGTTCAGATCCTATATAGGGATGACCGGTGCACTCTCAGTGCTCACTGGCTGAGCGCGGTGCGGCCGGTCTCAAAAAGGACAAAAAAAAAACTTTTTCTTTTTCTTTTTCTCATCTTCTAGCTTCCATGACTTAATGCCTTTTCACAAATCATACTCCATAAGGTTTCTATATTATACTCTTGTGTATTTTTGTAATATTAATACTATGTTTTGTGACATTGGATTACTCAGTATCCTCTGATTTTAGTGGTAGTACCTCATATATTTTTACGCTTAATTATATTTTTGTTCTTTCCATCATAGCTACTTTTAAGTGGGAAAAGAACAAAATATTTTTATTCTTTGTGCTGTTTTCAAAGCATTGTATTTTAAATCACAACCTAAGTGTCTCCTTCTCTTTTGTCTTTTGTGTTTTCTTTACAGCAACAGCCCATTCTATTTTTTTCTTTACAATGGCATAGGCCTATTTATTTCTTTCTTTTCATTTCATTTATTTCATTTCAACTTTATTGAGGAATAATTTATGTAAAGTAATAAACTATATCCATTTGAAGTGCATAGATTGTTAGATTTGAAAGTTTTGTACACCCATGGAACAACCACCATAATTAAGATGTAGAACATTTTCATCACCTTTAAAAGATTCCCTCATAGCTTTTTAATGCAACATTTAAAAATACTTGGTACTACTTATTGTTTATATTTATTTTTTCTGCATGTATCATTGCTCAGATCAGTAGAGATTAGATCCATGATTTTGAAAGTTTTGTTTATCCCTTCCAATTTTGCTAAAATTAATTTATTTCAATATAGTGTTATTGGAATCCTAATAGTACCCACTCATACTGTGAGCTCTAGAGTAATATTTTTAATGTATTCATAATGAAGAAAAGTATTTCTAAGAGTGTTCTCCTTTCCCATTTTCATTATTGAGTGTTAAAACAATTAATTTAATTAATATTTTCTAAAACACTTTAAATATGGGACATCTTAGGAATTATTACTATGAGATAACATTTAAAAATTTAATCAGTAATTTTATATATATTGTTGTTTATCCCTTTGACTGTGGTTTTGCTTGCATAAATTACATTTTGAGGCATATGCTTATTATTTAATGAAAAATAAGCATCCTTAACATTTAAGATAGGGGCCGGCCCGGTGGCGCACTGGATAAGTGCGCCGCTTGGGAAGCGCGGCGGCACTCCCGCCCGAGGGTTCAGATCCCACATACGGACCGGTTCCCGCTCACTGGCTGAGTGAGGCG